CTAGCTACTAAGAAAAAAAAAAAAAATCAATACCCTTAACACATGAACAGTCAGAGCACTTAACATATGGGCAGGAGGCAAATGCTGAACAGCCCAAGCAGCTCACAGAATCTCACAGGAAGTGGGTCAGACACAGAAAACTTCAAATGAAAAGATCAGGTATTACTTTGACAGTCACAACAGCAAAACATATATTTTAATCCCAATATTCAGTAACAACCTCAAACCAGGAAACTAACAGCTCTAGGCTAGAGGGGAAAAAACTCAAAGGGGAAAAAAAACAAAAGGAGGAAAAAAAAAAAAAGATGTTTTCACATTAACTTAAGATACAAAGCCAAGTCAAATGTTCTTATCCAGAGTGAGGCTCCAGCTCACAAAAATGTTTTGAACTGTCACTGAATTCATCACAGGATGGGGATATTTTCAATACTTTTCATACCATACTGTTCAGGAGAAAAGTAAGAGAGACTGTAAGACTCATCTGTAACAAGATTACTAAATAGTATTACTTAACCAAATATTAAGTCACAGGAAACATGCAGAACCCCATTTTCAGCTTCTTTCAGTTTCCAAGAAAATAAACTAGACATTATAAACCAGAAGTCCAAGGAGGGTACTTTTATCAGTATTTATAAGCACTAATTTTATGGGAAAACAAATAAAATAAACCATGGATGATTAATTATATTAAAAGATAATATGAATTTCTCCTCCTCCACTCCACAAGAACAAAAGGGTGACATTTCACACAGTACTCTTGTGCCTTATTATTTCTGATGAAGTCTTCTAAGAGCAAAAGACAGTAAAACATTTTAGACAGGATTCTAAACAGCAGTATCAATAATTTGTGACTCAGAAATTCCCAAGTAATTAAATAATTTTCTGAATATTGAACCGTTTGCAGCCTCTAATTTTAAGTTAATCCCCATTTTACACACTAACAAAAAATAAAGTTTGGATGTTACAGAACCTTACAAGATCCTGAATTTCCAGCTTAGTACTACATATTCCAAGTTTTTTAAAGGCCCTTACCTTTATAAAAACTCATTTGTTAAGTTAGGTGAACCCTCTAAAAAAAAAAAAAAAAGAAAAAAGTAATCACAGCAACTTGTATCTGCTCTTCTTTCACACAGCTTGGCATTAAACAGCATATTGCATTCTCAGTAGAAATTTTTAAAGTAGTCTGAAGACCTTAATGCAGTTTGCTTACTTAATGCTTAATGAATTATAGGCAAACTTCACAAAATTATACTGTATAGTATTGCAAAACTGGGGGTATCATTAGAAAAATATTCAAGATAAATTAATTTTTTCCAATGTCACAAAATTTATCCCCGAACTCTCTTCATTAAAAGGGCCAAACACGGTGGCAACTCAAATACATTAACTGTCAAAGTTTGTTACATGACAATCTATTTTGGTAGGCTGTACAGGACCTGAACAATACTGTAATTCAAATGTTTATTTAGGCATTTCAAGCATAACTGATATAAGGTGTCAAGATGCAGTAAGATGCTACTGCAACTAACCAAACAGTTTTGCAAGAAAGAGAACAAAGTGATTTGGCTCCCTTCTGAGTACTCTACAGCATTTTACCTTTGGGCACTGGGAGCCTGAATTATTTTGTCAAAAAAAGATCAAGCTCATAGTACCTAGAACTGCACATCCTGTTTTGAGTGCTGAGCACTACAAAATCAAAGTGACAATTTCTGTTTTCCTTGGGACAATGACACTAAACTATCAGAGAAAAAGAGAACAAGATTTTGCAGAAAGTTCTTAGTACCTAACTTTCACTTAAAAGTAGCCAAAAAACTTTTGACAATTTCTTATTGAGCAATCACCTGAGCAAATTTCTACTTCAGATCACAAGCTGTATGAAATAGGCTATCCCTTTGATTCCAAGTGAAGGATGCTGCAAAGACTGCAATATTAAAGTAGACTTTCAACATCCTTAAACCATCTTTCATGAATTCCCCTCTGCAGCACAAGCTACAACTTCCAGATCAAGCACACAAGCACTACTGCAGAACATTAATCCTGCACTTAGCACAAAACTAAGTATGCTAGTTCTACTATTCAGCAACCCACAAAAATTGTCCTGCACAAGTACTCAGAATTCCAGTTGATTTAATTTCTCTTATTGCCCTTTCAATGTCACAAAAAGGGTAATCTACTGCCTAGGACTAGCACTTTCTTATTAGTTCAGAAATCAAAAGTATATTAAAGGAAATTAAATAATAGCTCAATTTTTTTCTTGCTTTTGATTAAAAATCAGTTACCAATTTATATATATATATTTATATATGCTCATTTATAAAAGAGAAAAACCCTCAGAACACTAAAGTAGTCTCAGCATAAAAGAAAACATTAATGTGGATTTTCATGTTATTTACACAAGAACTTGGTACTAAACACCTCTTTTACAAGGATGCCAATCCCAAACTTCTAGAGATACAGCATGAACCATGAGAAACTGTCAAGTGTTCTCCACGATCATGAAAAATTCAGTAATTTTAATATTATTTATTTCAAATTCAGCGACTTTCCCCATGACCTGTGTGTTTTATTATTAGCATATATTAGAAAAAAAATTTTCCTTATGCTTACTTTGCTGCACAACGGACATCAACACTGAAGCAAGCAATAGGGGATTATTCAGTATATACTTTGGGGAGAAACAGGAGGAACTTTTCTTTGTATAACTAATATACTTGGAAAAGGGGAAAAGAAAAAAAATTAACAAGACTTCCAATACGAATCCTCTCTTATATGCAACCTAGCTCTTCATACGTAAAAACACATGGCAGAATCAACAGCTAAACTCTGGCAATCCTTTTAATAGGATACTTGAAGGCAGAGACCTATTCTAAACCTTGCCCCTGAAGGCCACATCTGTGCACAGCAAGCAAGACCATCTCCAGTATTCTGCAAAGCAGTGAAATTACTGAGTTACAGATGCAGATGAAGGATTTCTTACTGAAAGTTCCAACAAACAGATTGCTCATGGTCCAAAGATCACATTTTCAAATTTGCCTTAAAAATAGTTTTAACTTATCAAGCATGGAAAATTCTCTATATTTAGAGTAAAATCTGAAGTGCTTTTTAAGGAATGCTACCAAAATACAAATATTAAAGTGAATTGAGTACCACTAGTATTTCCAGTTTTCTGAACAACTTGTTTTCTCATTCTCATCTATCATTGACAGAGAAACATAGCTCAGACCACTAGTTTTATATTAAAAGAATACCAATAGGGATGTCGTAATTACTACTGTTGTAATTTGTTAGCATTTCCTACTGTCTTCTTCCAGCCCTGTAATGCATTTATTTAGTCAGCAGAATTCAGGCCCCCTTCCCAACAGCACCATCTTCCTATTTCACTAAATTGGAAAACGGGCAAAGGAAATCTCTCTTTATATGAAGAAATCTGTAAAAACTAAATCACAGCATCAAGAAAGTTAGAGATCTTGTAAGAAATCCACCCCAAGTGTTCACTTTGGATTACACAGACTGTATCAAATATTTTTTATAATCAACTTATGCAGACAACCAAATCAGAAAACAAAACATGGCTGCATCATTTAGCCTTGTAAGGGATACAATTATGATTCGTGCCAGCAGCTTAGAAACCCTTGTAACCATTGCACTTGGTATAAGAAGAAAGAAGAAATAATGTAATAATCATTTTTTTACATTAGTTAAGTGCCATAAGAATTATATTGTAAAATTCTGAACACTTTGTAAACTTTAGAATATTGCCTAAAGGGAAACAGCTGTAACTGCCCAATATATGCTTATGCAAGATTGTAATCACAATATATAGGAACTAAGTCTTAAGCAAATAACAGATGTCCGGTAGTGCCAACAATGCTTACACAAATTGAGCTCTTTGCAAAGGGATGATTTGTCACTCAAAGGTCACGAGATAAGGAAGAAGAATGAAGAACTTACGATTCAGCAATCTTCAAGAAAGCAGAATAAGCAAGAAAACAGAACAAGGACCCGAACAACAGGATACCATAGACTCAGACAATACCCTAACAGGATACCTACGCAGGATGTAAAGAGCACAGATACCAGATGTGATAATGTATAAAAGAGTAAAACCCGGCGTGCGTTGCTGGTGGAGTGAAGGCTCCCCTGCGCACCCAGCGCTGCTTGCTTATTGCCTCTCAATAAATTGTAAATAAATTAAATTTGGACCAAAAACCCTGTCTATGCTAAATTTTTATAACAGCCTGGACAGTCATGTTCCAGAGCTACATTATCATCAATCCAGTTAGACTTAAGATAATGCATTACCGATTAATACTTATTTCAAGTAAGTCTGAAAAAACAGCACGCAGCCATCGAGCTCTGGTACAGCTACACACAGCACGGCTGGCTCTTACTGATTCCTTACATCCCGATTCGCAGAGAATATTTTATATTCCACATTTTAAAGAAATAAGAGGCTTTTCAGGCTCCAATACTGCAAAACAAAATAAAATGGAAACCCATTTGTTTCCAAGTTTGTAAGAACATACTGGAGTAACTACAGTGCTTTTCGTACGGGGAACAGTTGGGTCGAAAGTTTCCATCACAAGAGCCCCGACAAGTCTCGAGCGCAGCCCCCTTAGTTTTGTCGCTCCGTGCCCTGTGCCAAGTTTAACGGAACACTCACCCAAACCCTGCGGGGCCACCGGCACCAAAGGGAATCACGAGCAGATCCCCCCCCGCTGCCTGCGCTGGGACGCGGAGCCGCCCATGTGCGGGAGGGGTCTAGGCCCACCCGAACCGATCCAACTCAACAACACCCCACCCCCCGCCAAAGCACCACGCCCGAGGAGGCTCCTCCCGCGCGACGACTACTCTAGAGTTTCTTTTCTCACAGAAAGCTATACCGACGGTGGGTGGCCTAGGGAGTCTTGGTTTCTTCAATGTTCTCAGTCCCGACAGGACAGCTTAGGCTGAAAACAAGAAACTGAAAACCAACATCCCCCGGCAGCAGAGAAGCGCACCTGCAGGCCGCAGCGGCGGCCCGGGACCCGGCTGGCCGTCTTCCCCGAGAATCAGCCTGAAGTCGAACTCGTCGGTGGCGCTGCAGTTTGCTGTAGTCATGGGGAGGAGGGAGAAAAGTGTGGCGCGTAGGGAGGAGGAGGAAGAGGCGGCCGCGGCACGGGGCTCAGGCGTGAGCTTATCTCTCTCCGTCTCTCTTTTTCTTTTTTTGTTTTTTTCCTCTCTCTTTACCTTTCACTCTCCCTCGCACGGTGACGTCAGCAACACCAGCGATACCTCGTGACCCGCGCCAACGCCACAGAGGGGAGGTGGGGGGACGCCTCGCGGCAGATCACATGCTGTGAAAAGACCGCCTCGGCTATTGTAGTTGGTTGTAGCTGCTTGGGCAGGCTGGAGCGAGCTCCCAATCCGCGAGAGCCAGCTGACATAAAGGGGCTGGCCAGTGGAGTTGTATGTGGCCTTCGTTTGGCTCGGCCCAGAATTCTCTGGGACACGGTCTGCTAAAGCATTGTGTGTGAATAGGTGCTGCTCTTGGTACCAATTAACGATTCGGGTAATTAAGTACGTTGGCGGGAGCTGAGGAATGTAGTTTGCATAACAAATGCTAGCTGAAGGACTCTAAGCTGTTAGCTACATACTTTCTGGACTCCTTAGAAGCAACTGCGAAGAGATGAATTTAAAAACTCCTTAGCAACGTGTGGCATCAATGAAGGGAGCTTACGGAGATGTTACTAAGAACACACGTTTCAGAATATTCTGCCTGCACAATAACATACCATTGCCTACTGTTTTGCCTTGCATTAAGGTTGAAAAGCAAAAGGGTAAAAAAAAAAAAAAAAAAAAACAACCAACAACTAAATATTAGAATTCAAGATGTTTTTCTAGCAGGAGCATCTGTTTCCAGCAGCAGATGGTGGTGCAGAAACCATAACTGGCCTGATGTGTCTGGAGTTCGCAGTCTAAGAAATCCTAGAACAAATTAATGAAACCATCACTGAGTGCTGTGGAATTAGTAAAAGATTAATCCTCAATTATGGAATTTGGGGAGATTTTAGCTTTCTGCTGAAAGCTGGGCATTGGTAGGAATTAAGCTATTCACAGCCAGTCCCATTTGCTTACAGGCAGTTATGTGATATGCACAGCTTTATGTTATGGACTGTGAAACTCATTAATCAAAAATATCATTGCTGTATCTTTTAAACATCAAAGGACCAGGTTTAATTACTTAGTTGAAAAATTAACTGGAGTACAGGAATGTGGAAATTGTGGGTTTATTGGTTTATACTGTTTGAGTCATAAGTAACTAATTCAAATTGTTTCTATGCACAGGGTCTTCTTGTGTTTGTTGCAGTTTAGGCATGTCATAATCCCATGCATGGATTTCTATCTAGATGTTCCCTTTACAGACTCTGAATGAAAGTGAGAAAAGAAGTCTGACATGAAGGGATATTGGCTACAGTGCAAAATTCCCAGTCTAGCAGGCTTTTACAAGTGTTTGGTTAATTCTGTCTGTGCATTCCTAGAGGAAGATGGGTAATCTATGCTGAAGAAAACAAGCCTAAATGAAAAGCTACTTTGTGACCCTGCAATTCTAGTGGAAACAGAAAGCATCATATTAAAAAACACTGTGTAGAACTTGCAACAAGAGGAGCTTGCCCAAGTGGAAATGGGAAGTTACTTCTAGTGCCCAGAATACAAAGCAGCCATGTGTTTATCTTTTACTTAATCTTCTAATGCACTGTCCTTTCTACTGTTGCTTCCTCCATGCCACTAGCTATTTCTTTATCTAAAATACATGAGCAACTACAGCTACTGTTCCTACAATATGTAAAGGTTGATGCTCTTGTTAGGGTAGCCAACTCCCTCTCCTGACGGAAGCCCATTGGCCTGTAGCCTCTTTTTACCTCTAAATTCAAGGTCATGTAACAAGAGAAGCTGGAAAATAATGTGTAATTGCATTAACTGTGGTTAAGAAAAAACATAATGCTTTCTTGAATAAAAACAGATCTACAATGAACAATTCAGTAAAATACACTGTATATAAAATGGCTCTTAGCAGCTTATTTTTGTCTAAAACCTTTTGGGTGATCTTTCACATTTTCAAAGTGGATATATTAGAATTTTTCTTGTTGTTAATTGTTGTGTCAGATTACAGCATGTGGAGTAACCCTAGCAGTTTCCTCTTCTGCTATAGCAGTAAATTATTCGTTATGCCTGAGAAAAATACAACCAAACTTGTCCTTTTCATAAAGGGAAATGTGAACACAAGCAAGTATTTGATCAGTGTTCTTTAATAAGATGCTCCAAGTATATTTCTAAACAGAATGCTACATGAAAAATATGTATATTATTGTCTTGTTCCTTTCCCTTAACTGTAAAACAAATGTTCTCTCCCCTGTTTGAGATAGTATTCATTCAGAAAACTGATATATGCAGGTTATGAGGCAGTGCTTTAAGTGCTACCTACTGCTGTTAATTAAGAAGAAAGAGAAGTATACATCCTAAAATAGAGTGATTATGTCATGACCATCTAACTAACAAGAATTTACAGAATATGTGGAAGTTAAGGTGGCATTGTAAGCAATTAATAGCTATTTACAGTTGATAGCAGAATAGACTCCACAACTTCGTTAAAGTTGTAAAGTAGGTATGCTTTATTCAGCTGAAGATGCACGGGGGATTGGTCCTCCAAAAGGCACGCGTGAGGACCAGAGGTAAAAAGTTCAAGCCTGAGGAAGACTCGTTTACTTCATCTTGAAGACCCCTACCCACAAGAGGAAGACTACTTACTTCATCTGAAGACCCCTGCCCAAGACCACCAGGAG